TGATTTGCTGAAGGCTTATTGTGAGCCAGGACTCCTCCTGAGTCAGCCTGAAAACATGTTTAGGAATAAAACACTCAACCCTGAAACGTATGTAGTGATGTAGCATACATGTTTAGCCCGTGTGGTGTAGTGGTTGGAGTCTTAGACTAGGATTTGGGAGATCCAGGTTTGGATGCCAATTCTGCCTCAGAAGCTTGCTGGGTGACCTTGGGTTGGTCACATGCTCTCAACCTAGCCTACCTTACAGGGTTGTTGTGAGGATAAACTGGAGGAGAACAATGTAAACCAGGGGTGTTGAACTCATTTGTTACGAGGGCCGGATCTGACATAAATGAGACCTTGTTGGGCCGGGCCATGTGTGTCATAAAATGTAATACCAGGTAGTGGAGATATAAACTTTATAAAGGACAGAAACACAAAGATTTTTTTAACTTAAAATAATGCTTAAAACATTAGTACTCTTGCAATATTTTGTTTATCTAACAGTGTCGGATAACTGACACCTCTTGCTCTGAATTATTGCATCAAAATGTCTGTGCTGTTGTGATCTTGAGTATGCTGTTCAGGTAAGCTGCAAACCTACAATGTCGCAGCAGCAGCAGAACTGGAAGAAGAAGCAGAAGACAGCCAGTTTCACTGCGGGCCTGATAGAAGCCCTCCGGGGGCCTGATCTGACCCCCGGGCCACATGTTTGACACCCCTGATGTAAACCATTTGTGTTCTCCATTGAGAAGAAAGATGGGGAAAAAGTGAAGCAAATAAACGTGAGAGGGCCTCTGGGAATAGGCAGAGCGTACTGCACATACCAGTGAACAACCAGTGCCTGCCCCAGCTTCCAGGCACAACTAGGATTTTAAGGAAGATTTGAAGGTCAGATGATGTGAAGCCTTGGACCGCTGTAAAATTAATCATTACAGCGGTGGATAAATATTCATATGGGAAATGTGGGGGAGTTTGATTCTTCAATCTGTGCTAAAATGCTGCAGCGTAGGCACCTGTGGCTCATTTTGTGTTATTCCATGGTGGTTGTCGTGCTACCCCCCTAGTTACTGACTTACTCTGTTGCTATGGCCTGGAGGTTCTGCCCATCTCTCCACATGTTGCTGCTCTGGTCCTGTTATTACTTCCCGGTTGGGTGAGAGTTAAAAGCATCTAATTTGTATCTAATTTGCATCCATGCACATTCTCCAAAGTGCTCGATTTTGCTTTGGTTTTTGTTTTTTTTAATAAACGACACCTCTGTTGTGCACATGATCTCTGGGAAATGGAAAAAGAACTGAGGGAAAGTCCCTCAACAACCAATTTTCTTACACGTTATTATATATACACATGCGTCCCCCCTTAGCAAGCAACGTTGAGAATAAACATTTCAGAGGTTTCAGGGCAAAATCTTCCAATGCACCAATGCATAAATGATTTTTTTTTTTAAAAAAGAAACAAAAACAACCTCACAAAAACGGAAAAGGTTTAAATCTTTGAATATACATAGACTTGGTATTGCATAATCTGAAGCCAAAAGGGAAGAGCAGAGAAGACGATTTCTCAAAAGAAAACGCTATCCGTAAACCTCGACAGTCGAGAAGAATACTTTCCCCATTGAACACAATCAGACACAGAATAGCAATACAGACAACCATGGAACCGTGCGGGGAATGCAGGGAATCCTTACCACCTGGTAAACTGTCCAACCTTTACTGCATATATGATGATAAATAAGTAAATCACACTACGCTTTAGGGATACCAGCCTCCAGGTGGGGCCTGAGGATGTCCCGCAATGACAACTGATCTCCCGACTAGAGAGATCAATATGGCTGCTTTGAAAGGTAGACTCTATGGCATTGCACCCTACTGTGGTTGGGTCCTGTCCTCCCCAGGCTCCAACCCCAAATCTCCAGGAACTTCCCAACCTGTAGGTAACAACCCTGCCCTCCTGCCCTCTGCTGGTGGCTGGCAGCGGCGGCGGGGGGGAACCTGGCAACTCTATTATAGTAATAATACAGTCAGCTCAGAAGCTATGTGGTAGGAGACTCTTGCTGTTGTTCAGTCTCACAGTTGAGTCCGACTCTTCGCGACCCCATGGACCAGATCACGGCAGGCCAGGGTTGCTATGCAGAGGCAGGCAATGGCAAATCACCTCTGAATGCCTCTTGCCTTGAAAACCCCATGTTGTTGTTGTTCAGTCGCACAGTCGAGTCCGACTCTTCGTGACCCCATGGACCAGATCACGCCAGGCCCTCCTGTCTTCCGCCGCCCTCTGAAGTTTGCTCAACTTCATGCTCGTTGCATCTATGACACTGTCTAACCATCTCATCCTTTGCCGTCCCCGTCTTCTTTGACCTTCAATCTTTCCCAGCATCAGGGTCTTCTCCAGTGAGTGCTCCCTTCTCATTGGGTGGCCCAAAGTATTTGAGCTTCAGTTTCATTATCTGGCCTTCCAGGGAACAGTCAGGGTTGATTTCTTTTAGGATTGACTGATTTGATCTTCTTGCAGTCCAAGGGAGTCCAAGGAGACTCTACCCTGTGGTAAAGTGGTCATCATGTTTGCGCCTCAGAAGATACGCTAAAAGTGTTTATATGTTTGTTATTAAATGATTGCATATGTATACTTTATTTTAAACCGTTTTTAACATTGAAAATGTTTTGATGTTTGTGGGCCTTGGGGATCCTATTTGGGTGGAAAGGCACCATAGAAATGTTTCAAAGAAAATTAGGGAAGCGATCCCATTTCTAGAAAGACGTTTTACAGATGACGCATGGGGCCAGATTTACGTTTTCACAAATCCCAGTCACGTTTCCACTGCAGAATGTTCTGGTTATATTGTTCAATAGAATTTGCATCAGGATTCTCTGGTCCTTCCCCCTGAATGTCTTCTCTTTCCTGGGCCTACAAATCACGTTATCTTGTACAGGATATCCCCTAGGAAAGTTTTGATTGGCAGATTGACCTACCTGATCTTTTATCTGTCTCGTTATTAATCTATTCCAAGAGACACGCTTTAATGAAACAGCATGGTTTCCTACAAAACAGGTGTGTATCCGAGTACATGGGGAGAAACTAGAGTTCAAGCTACTCAGCCAACAGGTATGAGACCTGATTCCTGGGATTTCCAGAAGGCCCTTCCTCTTTCCACCTACCACACCATATTACATTTTATTCCACCCTTTCTTCGAGATGATCAGCAGAGTATACATGGGTTAGCCCATTTTGCCCTCATACATGGTCTAAGATATTTATGAATGTTCTTATCTCTTGATGTGTACCGCACTGAGCCCTGTGTACACGGGGGAGGGCGGTTTATAAATTAAATGATAAATGATCAATATGGGTTAGGCTAAGACCAACTAGTGAACTTCACATAACTTCTATCCAGGTCTCCTCTGCCCAAGACCAGTTCTTTACACCCTACACCACAATGGGGTTCCACAATGATTTTCAGCCTCCCCAGACAGGCTGAAGATCCAGTGGTTTGTCTCACTGGTCGTACAGGCAATAGATATGTCTGGAAATGTGGGAAAGTGATAGGCCCATTAAATGTTTCCCTAGTAGACTGTTAACTAAAGAAATGGTGGTATAATAAATACTAGAGTCCATCTTTGTGGATTCCTTCCTTCCCCTCAGCCCCACCTACCTCACAGGGTGTCTGTTGTGGGGAGAGGAAGGTGACTGTAAGCTGCTCCAAGACGCCTTCAGGTAGTGAAGAGCAGTGTATAAAACCAACTCTTCTTCTACTGACTTTACCAGTTTTTCCCAGTATCACTGTGTTGACTTACAGGAAGCAGAAACATCAACCAGTGCATCAGATATTTCTTTTCCTTCCTTCCTTCCTTCCTTCCTTCCTTCCTCACTCCTATCTGGCCTGAGTAGATAACATTGACCTTGATGTGCCAAGGGTCTGATTCAGTATAAGGCAGCTTTGTGTGTTCTCTTCACTTCCTTCCTAGCACTAGATTTGTTTACCCACACATTTTATCCCCTTCTCAGACCGATTCTCTTTTTTTTAATAACAGGCTATCTGATCATATTTCTTAACGTATCCAAATTCGTCATTCAATACTTGCATCCCAATTCTGCCCAAACTACATGAGATGCTGACTGTGGCTGCACTGGCCACCCTACTGGGCAGGGTCACTACAGTGCTGGGTTGTTGTTTTTTTGCAAGCCAAAAGACGGAACTGTATACACCAGAGGGCCAGTCCTGAACACGCTGGTGCCTTGCTGTGCGCCTTCTTCCTGACCACACTTGACGCTGGAGTTCTCAAAGGTCGCCTGCCCTCCTCTTACTCCACTTGGCCTTCTGTGATTTCCTTCGGTGACTTCTTTTTCTGGTGTTATCTACAAGCCCATCCTAGACCTGTGGTAGACCCCCAGTTCCATTCCTCTAATGTCCTTAGATCCATAATATCTCACCTTAAGGCATGAACCAAGATCCTGCTACTGAATTCTGCCCCAGGACTAGATAACCACATTCTAGTTATGGAACACCAATTTCTGGACATAGATCTAGACCCAGAAAATTTCAGTGGCTAGCAGGTCTAACAGGTGCAGGGAGGGGGGACATCCTCAGGTCTCACTAGCTTCTTTACTCACTTCTGGAGGCATCTGGTGCATGATCTAAAGTTTTAAATAAACGCCGATTGGCCTTAACAAACCAACAACCAAAACCCCAGACCAAAACATGGGAAACCCTTAAACACATTCGTCCAAATCAGAATTAATCAGCATCTTAGTGTAGCACAGAAACAGGCTTTGTATGAAGAAATTTAGATAAAAGTCGTAACAAATCTGTATCACGCTGATATCATAATGGTGTAAGTGAAACAATTCCACAAGGAAATAGGGTATGCAATGGCAAGTAATCCAGCAAATGGAATGGAAATACTGTTACGAGTGCCCGCAGCTGGAGCGGGGATGGGAAAGGAGTACAAAATACAAAAGAACAATCACACCATATAATTGGAATGCCACCTGCACTCCTCCGCACAGCTTCCGGAGAGGCGCTAAATTTGAGGGTGACCCGTGTTTCTCTTTTCGAGCCTCAGCTTGAGCTCGGACACCAGGGCATTGTGGGCTGTGCTAACCAAACCCTTTTTTTTCACATGTTTGCTTTTGATCTTGGGGCTCAGAGATCCGGACACGGTGGGCACTCTCCATTCAGAGAGGCTCGGCTTGAACGTAGGGGCAGGAGGCGGGACCGGAGCAGTCGGCGGTGAAGGGGGCAGCACGTGGAGCAAGTTGTTGTTGCTGTTCTCGTTCTGCAGGGTCTTGGCATCTTCTTGGATGGTGAACCTCTGGGCAACGCTGGCAAAACTCTTGAATTTCAGCCAGTCCAGCCTGACCGTCCGCGGTTGATAGTTCTGTCTTTTTCTAATGATCCGTCGCACCGGCATGACTTTGTTGGACCTCTTATTGCGCCAGAAGATGACGGTGGAGATTATGACGGTGATCATCACCATCATTGCCATGAGACCAGCTAGAACTCCTAAGGCTTTCAAGGGGTTATCTTTTGTTTGCATCAAAAAGGAGGCTATAGGCCCTTTGTGAAGAGTCTGTAAAAGAGTACAAAGAGAACATGTGACTTACTCCGGGGCACAGACAGAGACTGCAGTTTCATTTGTTCAAAATATGTAACAACCAGGGCTGACCAGCACCCCCAAATCATCTGAGTTGGCATGTGAAATTCGGATTCAATGCCACGAATCTTCGCAGTACTGAGTTGGCATGTGATATGCGGATTCAATGCCACGAATCTTTGCAGTACTGAGTTGGCATGTGAAATTTGGATTCAATGCCACGAATCTTCGCAGTGCTGTACTATAGTAATTGCCCTGACATTCGGATTCAATGCCACGAATCTTCGCAGCGCTGTACTATAGTAATTGCCCTGATGCGGATGGCCCAGGAGAACCCGATCTTGGAAGCTAAGCAGGGTTGTCCCTGGTGAGTGCTTAGATGGAAGCCCACCAAGAAAGTCCAAAGCTACTCTGCAGAGGAAGGCAATGGAAAACCACCTCTGTTGGGCTCTTGCCTTGAAAACCCTGTGAGGCTGCCATCAGTTGGCTGTGACTGGACAGCCCTTTCTACCACTATAGTAATTAAATAGTGAAAGCGTTCCTCTCGTGATGTTGCTCTGAAGTTTCTGGATGACACCTGTGTAAGTATCTAGTGTTTGTCAACGAATCACACATGGAGACATAAGTGGAAGCCCTGAAATCTATAACCCAGGGCTTTACTATAATACAAACTTCAGCGGATATAAAAGTCATTCCCCTTTCTGCAACTAGGAGGCCCAGTTTTGTGAGGAGGGTTCTCCACATTTATAAGATATAGTTCCCAGGATTCTTTGGTGGGAGCCATCACAGTTACATTGATATCAGAGAATATCATATGGCAGAAATAAAACCTGATGAGATTAGTTGCCCTTTATATTTAATTTCAGAATAAAAAAAAAAGAGGTCAAAACAATGTTTTCGGAGATAATATCAGATTCCCCTGGTCCAATTATGAATGATCAAAGTTAAAAAATTTTCACAGCATTGAATCTATTTTTCAGTGGCAGAAACTGCCCATGTTCTGTTGTCTAGTACTCTTTTACAGACATTATAAAACAAAACCCCAGGCAAGCCAAAACTTGGAGGTAACATCTCTGAGCCGAACATCTCTGAGCCGTTTTGAAAATTCCAACAGCTAAGCGAGAGGTAATGGTGTTCATATTTATGGCATATTAAGGACAAATGAACAGTTCACATTCAGTGGTTTAGCATATAGAGCGCCGCGGTGGTCCCCGTATAATTTTCCTGGTTTTGCCCTGAGGATGGAGCCGGGATTTTTTTACACTTCTCCAGTACATGACGGTGGAGATCAGACCGGTTACACAAATGGTGGAAAGGACGCCACACATACAAATCCCAAATACGGTCCACGGTTGCTTCCTCAGGTCTAAAAGATACGTTTTTACCTTGGATTTGATCTGGAAATGTCAAAAACAAGACAGCTGAGCGACCCTGTGAGCCACGATCACTGAGGGAACAAACGACTCCCTGTTGTTGTTTGTAAACGTGGTCACCATGCTGAGGAGGGCCTGGGTCAGCAACGGCACAGGTAAAGCGACGGGGGACTTCAGCATGGTCCTAATTAAAAGCCACACCACTACCCGAGCAATCAGGCGCAACAAACATCTGGAATATCACGCATCGGTAAGAGGACTGAAGAGTGGAAAACGGCATCCATCGGAGGTGTCTGAGAATGTTATTTTTTCATTTTGGGCGCAACTAGGGTTGTCAGCTCTGGGCTGGGAAACTCCTGGAGATTGGGGTGCAGAGCCCAGAGAAGGTGGAGTTTTGGGATAGGAGGTCACTCAGTGGGGACGCGAAGCCACGGGATCCATCCTACAAGGCTGCCATTTCCTCCAGGGGAACTGATGTGGCAACATGGAGACCTGTAGTATGGAAACCAGTTATAATTCCGTGAGAACTCCAGCCCCCACTTCTGAATGCTGCTAGGACAAAGCTTGGGGCGGCCATGTTCAAATTCAAACATGGAGGGCATGTTCTCCCGCTCGGGGGCCCCAGATGACTATCAGGAGGAGCTGGGACCCGAAGTGCAGCAGGCAGACGGCTAGTGCTCTTTTTGTAGAAAAAGCCCAGCAAAAACCTACTAGCATAATAGGCCACACCCGACAGCAGGAACTCATTAGCATATTGGGCCACACCCCTGACAGCACAGCTCATTAGCACATTAGGCCGCACCCCCATGTTACCAGAAGTGTGGTTATCCAGCCACACCCACCTTTTGCTTGTTATTCTGTTTACCTTGTTTGTTGTCAAAACCCAGGGCCTTTTTTGGTAGCAGGAACTCCTTTGCATGTTAGGCCACACACCCCTAATGTAGCCAATCCTAATGAGTTTCTGCTGTTGGGTGTGGCCTATTATGCTAATGAGTTCCTGCTGGGCGTGGCCAACTTGGGAGCCAGCCGGAACTCCGTTCCTGTGCGTTCCTGCCCCAAAATAGCCCTGCAGAAGGCTCTGCTCTGTCACCAAGAAAACGGTAAGACTTCCAGGCCGCACCAATCCCGAAACATACTTTCTGCCGGTCACAGGCAATGCTCCCTCTAAGTGGTGGAGTCTTGCGAACAAATATTCTACTTTGTGAGCTACTGGCACTAAAGGTGTGAGCAAGCAATGTGGCTATTTCATAAATTAGTTTGCTTTGGAGCTATCCCTTCCTGAGCTAAGACAGAAATGCGTGAGCCGGAGGCTTAAAAAACTGTGAGCTAGCTCGCACTAACTCAGCTTAGAGGGAACACTGGTCACAGGGCCTGGTGCACAATAAGCCTCCCTGAATCACGTAGTGCCAGTCTGCATCAGAGTCAAACATAAACAGGAACATTCTGACACAACACTCTTTCCCAACACAGGACCAAGGACCCCCCTTTTTTGCATTTCCTGCTAAATGTCATGACTGAGGGCTGCAGATAAATGCATTGTTCTTTGGAGATTTGGACTGAGCAAAGCCTTCCCCTTCCATTTTAAAAAGTTTTCCTTTCTCTTGGCAGAGACTTGGCAGGAGGGCATAAGATAAGTCAGTTGCTCTCCAAACACACCCAACTGGTTTTTAGAAATGGAAATGGTAGGCCTAACTGGACAATGGTCAGCACATACCTTCTGCATTTCCATCCAGACATGTAGCAGGGAACAGAGTTTTTGAGGTTGAAACCCTTAGAGAAATCTTTTCCTGGAGACTTTAGGAAAAGCTTTTTCAACATGCCCTGCCCTGCCCTGCCCAAGGGAAGGGCAAACAAACATGATAAAACTCCCTGACACAGAGAAGAGGGTCTCCTTTGGTGTTGATTTCATCCAGGTCGATGGAGCTCTTACACCTGGGACCCTGATGAAGGCGGCCATTGCCACTTGGAGGACTGTAGGCCTGAGCAGAAGCTCCGTGATAATGGGAACCTTTTAGAATCACAGTGGCTGCGGTCACACGCGTGAGATAATGCGGGCAGGAAGCGAGGCTGTTTGCCCTGGGCCGAAATGACGCGTGTTTGCGCGATCAGACTTCCGCCTGCGCCCCCCACAGTTCTGAATACTAGAAGGTTTTACCCGGTGGCTTTTTCCCACACTCCTGTGGCGCAACGAGACACCCTGCCGATGACTCCGGGACGCTGGACAGATGTGTCTGTCTGATGGCGCCCCTTTACTCCGCGGGGGAGTCCCGTCATTGCCGCCGCTTTTGGTATGTATGATCACAGCCAGTGACTTTTACGTTAAGGAGCCTGCCTTAAATTAGAATCAGCTAGGGCACATACATGGGGCACATACATAGGGCACATACTGGTTTATGCATGAGGTGGCTCAGAGGTTAAGACACTGAGCTGCAGACTGGAAGGTCGGTAACTCAGCAGTTCGAAACCCTAGCACCACATGATGGAGTGAGCTCCCATCTCTGGCCTCAGCTCCTGCCAACCTAGCAGTTCGAAAGCAAGAAACTACAAGTAGATAAATAGGTACCATTTCGGTGGGAAGATAACAGCGTTCCGTGTGCCTCGGCATTTAGTCATGCCAGCCACATGACCACGGAAAAGTCTTCGGACAGCGCTGGCTCTTCGGCTTGGAAACGGAGATGAGCACCACCCCCTAGAGTCGGATTCAACTGGCTTTCGAGCAAGGGGAACCTTTGCCTTTAGGGCACGTACAGAGGGAGAGACAGAGGAACTGCGGGTTTACACTTTCCTTTTGGAACCCTTGCTCAATCTGTTGCTGTGCTGAGACTAAGTGTGTGGGCATCTTCTGCTTAATAAAAGTTTTATAACTTCTAACACTGGTAGCTGCTCTCTATACCACATGGACCTCCACTGTTTCAGACAAGCTATTTTAAAAAATGAATGCCAGGAGAAGGGGGGTGGCAGTCAGTTGGCGATTTGTTACTCCCCCCAGTGGTGCACAAGCATGTAAGTTGTCCCCATCATAACCAGATGCTGGGCAGCAGAAGATACAGGCATGAGGCAAGGCCTTAGAATAGCCACGCAAGGAAGGGGAGCTGGGAGCCCTGGTTCTCTCAGCAGGTAGTTCCTCCAAAGGCCAGAGGGTGGCAGTGGCTGAACAGAGAGAGGGAGAGATAAGCCCCTTCAGGGCATTTGCCTTGGATAGCAGCGGATGCCGAGATGCCTCAGAGGTCAAGAACAGGCTCTGCAGGTTGGTGCGGCTGTTCCACCACAAGGGCTGGTTTCCGCATCATGCTAAATGAAGCAGAAGAGCAACTTTGCAAGGTCCCAGCAATCTGTTCTGACTGTGCTGCAGCCCACGCAAAGCAGCTATGTGTACTTAGTTTGCATGCCAGAGACCCGTAGCCCTTGCAGGTACTGCGCTGGCACGCTCATTCAGTACACCTAACTCCTTGGCACAGGCTGCAGCATGGCTTAAATTAAATGCCGAGCCCATGCCAATTCGCATGGGGAAAAACGCTTTCCTCCATCAGCATCACATTTCAATCAGCCCAGTGGGAAGAAGTGACTTGGAGGCAGATCACGCTTCCAGTGCAGATCAACGGG